AAATGTGGGTTTTAATTAAGTGTAATTATTGATCCTTTTGAACGAATCTTGACTTGTTGCACCAAAATATCTGAGAGGAGAATCGCGAGAGCAGATGTTTCACAGGTGCAGAAGCAGCCGGAGCGCAGAACGAGAGAACCCTCCTCATAGACAAACAACACTGACACATGCACAAGGAGATCTGACGCCACCAACAGGCGACCAAATGAAACGCAACGATACCTTGAATAAAATCATGACATGATGAAAAACGTTCAGGTTTATTTCAGTCGATCACATCATCTCGAGTTCCTTGACTAAACGGTGACGGAGAGGAGTCGTCGAATGATATTTTTAAATTGATGTAAAAAAAATCAGCAAGAAAATTTTAATCTGACAAACGACTCCATGACGTGTGTGTGTGTGTGTTAGAAGTAGCTCTGAAGCGGCTCCCCCAGGATGTTCTCCATCTCCTGAACGACCTTCTGAACCTGCTGCTCCACCTCCTCACACTCATCTGAAAAACAAACACACACACAATGTCAATTATAGTGTGTGTGTGTGAGTGCGTGCGTGCGTGAGTGAGTGCGCGTTCTCACCCTCCATCAGTTCAGCCAGGAAGGGGATGGTCTCTGGCAGCAGAACCATGTAGTTTTCTTTCAGCTTCGATGTCAACTCCAAGAGAACGAGCAGAGACGAGAACCGGACCTGAAGGAGTGAAGCAGCGTTAATGTCTGCGATGTTTTCAGGTGTGAGCGAGCGTGAGCGAGCGTGAGCGAGCGTGAGCGAGCGGGGGTCCTCACCTTGGCGTCGCTGTGTCTCGTCTTCAGTAGAATCTGATAGTTGAGGGTTTTCCACTGAGAGTCGTCGGCCAGAGCAACAGAGAAGTGACCAACACATGGAACAAAGTGCTGAGTCATCATCTGCTGATAAAGCTGCTGACCCCCCACTGTGTTCTCCAACTGCAACACACACACACACACACACAGTGAGTTGGGGACACCTGATCATTTCAGCGAATCAGAACGCAGTATTCAGGTCAGCTGTAAACATGACGCTTCACCTGGTCAACCAGTGGCTTCATGAGGGCGTCGGCTCGCTCTTTACTGAGGAAACACTGAGTGTCGTACAGGAAGATCTTCTGTAGACAGTCGAGGACGTACTGAAGCAGCAGACTGTTCTTCACGTCGCCGCCTTCAGAGTCAAAGAGCGGCTCGTCTGAGGAGGGAAAGTGAAGACGATGAAGGAAAAAAGCTAAATTAAGAACAATCAGAATAAACACAACATTTGGATGAAATGAGTTTTAATTAAATGACTAAAATATATATTTTTTAATTTAAAGAAATTAATTCCAAACTAAAATCAAATCGGACCTGTCTGCGAGCGGTTGGTTTTTCGGAGAAGGTCTGAAAACGGTTTCACTAAGTTTCCTGCGAACAGGACGAAGAGTCCTTTGAGTCGCTCGGCGATGCTGTCGCAGAGTCGGTAGAACGTCAACAGACGCTCCTCGCTGTCGGACTTACTCCAATCAAAGAGCTGCAGGAGAAACGACAACATCAGTGTGAGCCACTTCCTGCAGGTTTGTGTGTCTTTGAAATGAACCAATCAACGTCACCTTGAAGAAGAGCGGTCTGAATGTGACCTCAGACAGTTTCATCACCATGGCGATCAGACAGTCGATCACACAGCCCTCAATATGCGACGTCTTCTCGAGATCACCCTGCAGAGGAGAGAGTTGTGATGAAGGTTCCTTTCCCTGGTTTCACTTGAGTCATGACGTTGACAGGCGAACAGGAAGCGATTTAGCACGTCAGATGTCACTTCCTGTCAAAGTGTCACACCTGACATAACCAGAAACTGACCTGACAGTGTTTGTTGCGGAAGTCGAGGGCCGTGAGGAAGAAGGCGGTGAGTTCTGATTGGTGGAAGCTGAGCTGCTCTTTCTCCATGTGAGTGATGTGTTCCCTCAGGATGCTCAATAGCGCCCCCAGCTGAGCCTGGAGGAGAACACACAGAGGTCAGAGGTCACACCGGTGGTTCCGACACCAGAACTCTGATATAAATCCTCTGTTTGAGTTCAGAAATGTCATGAAATCCTTGATCTCAAAGGAGAATCAAACATCTGAGCCCAGAACGTTCGCCTCTCACCTTGTTATCAACGACCATGTTACTGTAGCAACTGGACAGGTTGGGCAGCAGGACCCTGGGGGGCAGCTGGGTGGCCAGGATGGTCCTGAGGGACGAGAGACGCACCGAGAGCTGGACGGACGAAGAGGAGGATGAGGAAGAGGAGTCCACCAGACGGGTCAGACGACAAACCTGTAGGCACAGAAAGTTCATGTGATGATGAGGAGCAGGGACCTGAGACCAGAGTCACACCAGAAGCAGACCAGTCACATGGTCCTGTTCCCTACCTGTGACGTGGCGTCCTGCAGGTACGGGCTGATGAAGTGCGGCAGCGTCTCTGTGACTCTCTGGAGGGCTGTGACGGCACTCAGCAGGTAAATCTCATTGGTCAGCAGCTCCTTCCTGTTGGCCAGCGTGTGCAGCACGGCAGGCATCAACCTACACACACACACACACACACACACACACTTGTAATGCGTCTCACTCACACCTGTGGTTCCTACATGTCAGCTGCCTCCTCTCCGTCCTGACATACACACCTGGGTAACTGAGGGATGGCGCGGGCCTTGAGCGTGCTGACGACCTCGGCGATGCACAGCAGAGCGCTGCCCA